GGGGATCCTGAGTGGGAAGGACAATGAGGCATTCCCACCACTACCAGTGGCCTGTGACCCCTCCGCGGTGGGTCCATGGCACTGCTCTGTGCTCACTACTGATCCCTTTCCTTTCTGTGCCAGGTACGGGGGAGCCGCGCCCGGGGACAGGACCATGGTGAGTGACAAACAGCTGGGCACATGATGCGATGGGTACCAGGCAAAGCTCTGCCCATGCCTGTTACACTGCCACTGGGGACCCTCTTGGTGCTGGGCCTGCTCCCATCTACAGGCAACACTGAGGGCAAGGGAGGCCATTCAGTGCTGATACAGAGGAGTATTCCCCATCTGGCACTGTCTGCTGCTGATTCAGGCAGACGTTGCCCCCTGGTGAGCCCCAGAGGGATCCATGGGGCAACCTCTGCTCAGTAACCCCCACCCCAGCCGCTTGCCCTGTCTCCCAGGGGCCCTGCCCTCACCACTCCTCCCACTTGTGTCTTGGGCAGCTGGATTCGCTCTGTGCTGCTGCTGAGGAGCTGCGCGCCATGCAGGCCCCTGGCACCGACCTGCTGCCTGTGCTGGCCAAGGCAGTCCAGGTATGAGAGCTCACTTCCCACCAGGCCCCTCCTCTCTGGTGGGACAGGGAGGAGCTAGTGAAGGGGTGGAGCCTGAAGCTGAGTGGGGAGCCAAAGCTGCATGAGGGGAGTTGAATGTGGGGCTGTGATCCTGTTGGGCTCATGAGCAGAGTTGGGGCAGGCTAGCACTTGGGCACCTTGAGAAAACTGCAGGAAGGGGGGTGAATGGCTCTTAGCAAGAACTGAGCCAACGCCTAGCGTGAGACATGGGGGGTGCTGTGCCAGTGGATGGCTGTCTTTGATGGAAATGTAAAACACAGGCCCAGGCTGTCTGGGCAGGAAAATTCCTATGGTGCGGTTTGCAAAAGCAGGGGGTGATGGGTGTCAGCAGAGCTCTGGAGGGGCCGAGATAGCAGGGGAGCTCTGGGTCAGGATTGAGGGGCATTGGCACAGCTCACGGGGGCAGGATGGAGGGGCATCGGGAGAGTTGTAGAGGGAAGCCCCCTTCCCCGGCTGCATACCTGACCCTGTTGTGTTCCCCGTGTCCCTTGGGGACACTCCCACCCATGACCTGCTCCCTCCCCTGGTCTCTTGGCAGAGTGCAGAGGCTGCGGCTGAATCCACTAAGAACATGGAAGCAGGCGCTGGCAGGGCCAGTTACATCAGCTCGGCCCGCCTGGAGTTACCGGATCCAGGGGCCGTGGCAGCAGCGGCCATTCTGCGTGCTGTGCTGGAAGGGTTACAGAGCTAGAGTGCATGACTCTGCCACCTCCCGCTGCTCCTGGGCACCTCCCTCACTTTATCCTCCTCCCCCCGCAAGTCCCTGGGGCCCTTCTGTGCTGACTTGCACACCCTTTGTAGGCAAGACAAGGAGAAGTGATGTTTATGGGAGTCCTGGCAAGAGCTGGCTCAATGCTCCTGGATCTGCCCAAACCAGGATCTCATTGGCAGGAATGGGGGCCAGCAGGGAGACTAGGGTCATCCCTGTGCCCACTGTTCACTGGGTAGCAGGCCCACTGTCCCTCCCAGTTCATCCCTGCTACTGGGTGCTCTGAGCGCGGTGGCTATAATAAAGAGCTCTGCTCCAGAGGTCATGGCCCGTTCCTTTCTGTAGCAGCAGTGCCTGCCTGCCGCCTCGTTCTCACAGCACAGAACAGCTCCCCGCCCGGGGTGTTTCTGGCTTTGGAGTTGCTGTGCCTTCTCCCCCTGCCCCCACCCCCAGAGAATCTCCGAGCACCTCGTTCCAGCTGTTGGTGAATGAATTGTCCCCACCCCAGGAAGCGGGGTCAGGTAAGGTCCAGATTCTCTATTGCATGGAGGGGGAAACTGAAGCACCCAGCGCTGACAGTCATACGGTGAGTCAATGCAAAGCTGGCACTAGCTCCGAGCTCCAGAGCTGAGGTTTCAGCCCTGGCCCATGCCTCCTCATACAGTGCACCTGGGAGTGCCCAGTTACCAGGGCCCTGTGCTACAAGAGGGGACAGGGCAACCACTGAACTGAGCAGCAGAGTTTCCAGTGGAGCACAGGAAAGCCATTGGTGGTGGGGCTGTGCTCATCTGCCTCCCCTACCCTGGCACAGAGAGCCATAGCTGAGCTGTGGCAAGACCCTGACTAGAGCACCCCAGGCCCCTTGTTACCAGGAAGCTGGTGACAGATGGGAGGAAGGGGGTGGCACATGGAAAGATCTACATCTGTCTGAGTTGGCTAAGGGCTGCTGGGGCCCCACACACACATGCTCCAGCAGTTGTAACGGCTACTTCACTGTAAGCACAACACCGGCTCCTGCCGCCTGATGGTGAATGGGCTCGAGCTCTTCCTGCTCTCCCGGCTGGGGTCTCCCCATGCAGCTTTCGGGCTGGGTAGTACAGAGGAGGGATCTTTCTTCCTCTGTGTTCTCCACCTCCTCCTAGCAGGGGTCTCCTCTCTCTGTGCTTGCAGGCTGCTCCTAGGCTGGGGACCCCGCCCCACTCTTTGATTCCCCCTTCCTGTGGGGAGAGAGCCAGGCTCCCCTGGTATGTTTGCTCAGCGCTGCCTGTGCTGTGAGGGAGCTCCCCTAGAATGTCAGGGCTATGAATTCTCAGAGCAGCAACTCAGCAGGTCTGGGGAGGGGAAGGGATGTGGAGGGGGGCAAGGTATGATGGGGGTGTCTCTGCATATGCTGGGGCTGGGTAGAGAGGAGGGGGCAGGGGCTGTGAGTGGGAAGCACTGGGATGAAAGAGCAGAATGCAGCCATGGCTCAGCTTTGTAGTGAGATCCAGTGGGCTAGGGAAGCCAACTCCCTACACTAGCTGAGTTCAGCCCCTGCAGAGGAGCACCCAGGGTCAGTCTTGCCCTGGCAGGGACAGGTGACTGGGGGGGCTCATTGTTCCCCACCATGACTACACCCTCTGTCAGCCCCTCAGGGCTACTATGCAGACATTTTATGCTACATAGCTCCTTTGCTGGGGTTTTATTTATTCCTCAGCCCTAGCCTGTTACACCAGGTGTTTCAGGCTTTGCACCTCCTCAAAGAGTCTCGTTACCTGCCCTCTCTTAGGGCTCATGGTTACTTTAACTCCATGGCTCTGCCCTCCCCAGCTGAAGGGATCGTGCTGCTCCTCACAGCTTGGTATGGTTTAGGTCTGTCCTGCAGGGCCTAGCTTTGTGCGGAGGGACTAGCAGGCCCTTTTTCCTCTGGGTAGAGCCTTTCCCCAGGCTCTCTTCAAGCTCTCCCTGGGCTCCCCTTCTCCCCCCCCAGGTATAGTCCTGAGCAGGTGTCATTCCATCCCTCAGCAGGCAGCACCTGTTTGGTCTTCAGGGACACAGGACTTGCTTCATTTAAGGGGCCAGCCCCCTGAGATAAAGGGCCTGGAGCAGGGGGCTTCCCTATCTCACTGTCACTTGAATCAAGGGTGGGGAGGAAGAAGTGCTGAAGCCATGCAGAGGTCTCCTTCCACAGATCCTGAGCTGGTTATTCCAGCCCAATGTACCACCCTGAAAGCTGCCACTGGAGAAACTCACTCAGCCCATGTGCCCTGGGAGAGCAGGAGCTGGCACCAGCCCAGCTGCACAGGTCACATAGCACTGCAGGAGGATTGCGCCAGGCCAAGGGCCATCCCCACTCCACCCCATCCAGCCAGCAAGGTTTGCAGGCTGCTATGGGATTATGAAACAGGGCGAGGCACTGCCAGCACGTGGTGTGCATTGTCATGAATCCAACCAGGCAAGGTCTGCTTCCTGGAGCATGGACCAGCACATGGAGGGACCAGCTGGATGTTGCCACAGGCAAACACTGCACCAGCTGGGGGAAGGGCCTGAGCTGAGCAGAGTCCAGGAACAGGCTGAAAGGGACCTAGGAGTGGCAGGGAGATTATCCTTTTCCTGGATCCTCCCACAGAAGGGAGATTGTGGCACTAGCTGTTACCTGCCAGAAGCAGCTCTTCCAGCTGCCAGCACAATTCATAGCTCCAGCTAAGCCATGACATGGCAGCATTGCTGGGGGCAGGAGGGGTTTGAGACATGAGCCCAGGTAACTAGCACAGGGGAAAGTGAGCAACCAATGTGCTAGAATTAGAGCAATGAGGAAATCCAGCTCTGGGCAGGGCTGCAATACACACACCCCTTCCTCTCTGCTGGAGAAGGGTTTGCAGCTGAGCACAGGGCATTTGAGGCAGAGGGCTAATTCATCAAGCCAACAGATCAGAGCACCCTGCCGGCACCAGCCAGTTCATGGAGTTGAATTGTTAAAAGGAGTATCTTCACCCCAGCAGCCTGCAGCACTAGGCTCTTTGTCCTGCCTTGCTCTGAGGAGCCGGATCGATAAGGGTGGCCTTACTCCCAGACTGTTAGAGCTTGGTGGGGGGAAATGTACCTGAAAGGCCAACCTCCCTATTACCTTTGCTCAGCTCCAGCCAGTTACTCCCAGCACTAAGCATATTGAGCAACAGCTGGTTTTTAGGAGGCTCGGTTTCCACCCTCCCCCAAGAAGACACCCCCTTGACTCCAATTCCAAAACAGTGCTATTTATTAAACAAAGGGTAGTACCACCACCGAGGCCCCAGCGTTTCAAAATAGCCTATTCAGGTGTACAGTTTCCCAGCAAGACATCAGAAGTACCCCAGATATTAACATGGCTAATGCTAGAGCTAGGAGACAAAGCCCGGGGGAAGCCACACACTTCAGCCAAGCTTATGAGAGAGAGAGAGACACACACACACACCGCAGGCTGGAAATACACTTCCCCGTTTGGAGCTTTAAGTCATGAACTCTTAGCAAGGACTCAGCAGCCAGCTCCTTTCCCTGGAGTTAGGTAGATGTCCAGGCTACACCCCATGAGTTCTCTTTGCAACAGTCACTAATTCATTCCCGTAAGCCCCAGTACTCAATGGGATGATGCTGGATTGCATCCTGGGTACAGGGGCAGCTGCTCCAATTGCTCCCACTGTCTGCTTTGGCCTCTTTTTTCCCCTTCAGCCTAGGGCCACCTGATTTTTCAAGGTTGTCTACAGAGCTGGTTGGACATTTTCCACAAACAGTTTTCCATCAGAAAGAGCTGATTGACACAGTCAGTGCATTTTGGGGAATGCCTGGAGTTAGCTGGACATTTGGGGGAAATCATCCCTGTCAAACATTTCACTTCTAGATAACAAGCCAAACTGAAGCATTGCCCCATCAAAAGGTGTTGAGACCATCAAACTGAAATCCTCACCGTGCTGTGTGTCACACGGAGTCCCGCCACCGATTTAGCATCCCAGCTCAGAACAAAGCCAGAGATTTGGAAGTCTGAGAATTTCCCAGGGGACAGAAAACTCAAATTCCAACCAGCTGTAGCTGCATTCCACCTCTCCAGTAGCATGTACTGAGCCTCTGTGTGGATGCTATCAAACCCCCTGGGCTGGGCAGCTTCTCACATACAACAAATACATTTAATTGCCTCTCTCTGGAAACACTTCTAAGGAAGCCTCCAGTGTCTTCCTAAGATCTCAGTTTGAGCCATGTGGGCTCACTCCCAACCTACCGCAATAGCACACACCCAGAGAAGCAGAATGCACAGCCATAGAGGATAGGAAGGGCCACCCGTCCCACCCCCCTGCAATCAGTCATGGGGAAATATTCCCCATTGAGTCAACCATACTTCCTGTCTGCCCTTCTCTGGGGGGTCTGAACCCTTCCCACCATGCCCCTGTCTGTTACACCATGTGGGGATGGGAGGGATTAATACCTGGAGAACAATTTAGCCCTAATCCTGTACATGAATCCTTAAACCAGAGTGAAGTATCTGCTTCATGGGGACCCCACACCACCCCGGCAGATCCAGTGCCCAGAATGGACAGGATCTTGTCTCAAAGCTTCTGAGCAGCTTGTGGCAGATGCCACCAAAGGATGCGTAAGCTATGAGTCCATTTTCATTAGTGCTGGCTGGGTCAGGTACCAGACAGTGAGTGTCTGTTGTACAGCCCCCAAATTACATCATGCCAATGGTAGCGTGTAGGCACTGGGAGGAGATACAGCTCACGGTGCCTGCCCGCGCTGAGCCGGGACCTGGGAGAGGCCAGCCAGGAAGACTGTGAATTGGCCAGGCACTAGAGAGCCTCCAGGCCCAACCACTTGGAAATTTTTGCTGGAGTGGCTTTCAGGGCTCAGCACAGCTGAGGCCAGAGCCAGACACCCCAGGTGAGGTAGGAAAGGCAGACCGGAGCCTGGTGTAGGACTGTGCAGGGTGGAGCTGTGATACAGCACCAGAGACGGCAATACAGCCTAGATCCAAACGGAGAGCTGCAGGTGAGTGGATTCTGAGCCTGAGCTGTTTTACTAGTTAGAGAAGCTCAGTACAGAGTTTATCTGTGGATCCTGGGCAGAGGAGTGAACAGCATGGCCCTGGACAGCTCCTCCCACCTTAGCATCCCCAGGGCAGTCAGGCACTGCAGCCGGACTCCCCAGCCCACCTGCACATCACAGCGATGCATGGACAACAGCTTCCTGCTCTGCAGCCCTCTCCTGGCAGGAGGAAATGTGACTGCTTCCTCCACTCAAAGAGCTGGGACAAGGGAGAGGGAGTATGACCAGGGCTGGAAGCAAACCCCATGGAGAGCAAATGCTCTGAGTAGGATGACCAGACAGCAAGTGTGAAAAATCAAGGCAGGGAGTGGGGGGTAATAGGAACCTATATAGGAAAAAGACCACAAAATCGGGACTGTCCCTATAAAATCAGGACATCTGGTCACCCTAGCTCTGAGCCCTAGCAGAGACTCTCCCAAGGTAGCAGGGGACAGCGCCAGAGAGCAGAAGTGGGTGCTAAGCTGGCAGTGGGAAAGGGAAGCTGGCTGGAGCTTGGCACACTGATGCCCCAGACGCATGCACGCTGCTACAGCTGAGCGGCCAGCACAGGCTCCTTACACACAACCAGCCCCTGCCTCCTGCAGAGCCGACGCCAGGGCAAGCGCCACAAAGCAGGCTTTTATTTTAGTTCAGGCGACTTGATCTAGGCCGTAGCGTCAGCCAGGGCCCCTAAGGCACAGCAGCACAATGGCAAGAGGGGCCAAGGCTGCCTGGTGAATCCCAGGAAGAAGCAGCACATGCAGGAACCCAGAGCAGAAGGCAGAGGAGTGGCAAGAGCCAGGGATCCGGGAGAGCAGCTGGGTGGTGAGGGAGCAAGGAGAGCACCTCCACCCCTCGGCTCCGTGCTGGCCAGGCTCCGGAGATGGCTCAGCGCCAACTGCAGGAGCACAAAGCTGCCCTTCTCACCGGAGAGTCTGGGCAGCGGCTCCTCCTCCAGGCAGCTGCTTCACTTGTCCTAATGGAGTAGGGGCTGCGGAGAGAGAGGCCATGAGCAAGGCACCCCCCTCGCCCAGCACTGAGTCGCTTCCAGCACCACATATTGCTGCTCCACCAGGGTGGCTCCAAAACCGCCCTGGCCTTGGTGCCACCATCCTGTACTGGACATTCCTGTCTGATTGCTGCCCCCATCTGCCCCACTGGCTGAGCCGCCGGTTTCCTGGCTCGTCACATTAGCAGGTGTCTTCCCAGGCAGATCAGCGGCGAGTTGACTCGTTATTTCTTGCCCATGTTTCCAATCTCATCTCCCACCCTTCCCCTACCACTCCTCCCCACACGCCGAACCCCTCAGCCCCACCCCCGCCACATATCACCTCCATATTGATGCACATAAAGGTAATTCCGCACATGGATGTAAAATATTTAGAGGGAACATTGCACCCACTCTTCCCCTCCCTCATCCGCCCTAAACCTGGCCTAACTGCAACACTCCACATGCCCAACTCCTCCCCGATCCTCAACCCCACAACATCCCCTCCTGCCCACGCTGCTACTCCTCCACAGTGCCCATGTCCTGGGCCATCAGCAACGCGGACTTGGTACCTGTCGGTCCTCCAGTGACTCTGACTCTGGGCGCTTCCAGGCCGGCGTGGCAAGAGCCCACAGCACCAGCAACCCAAAGACCAAGATCAGCATCCCCAGAGAATTGGCGAACCAGGCCTCAGGGGGGAGTTTAGCGTAGGGAACCGTCTTGTTCGTCCTGAGAGAGAAAAGATGGAGCCACCACTTTCATTCGGAGCCAGCACCAGTGCAAGCACCCTCGCCCCTTACGATCCCAGCTCCCTCTGGAGAGCCCCTGGAGGGGGAAACCCTGCCAGCACTCCCTCAGATGGGTGGGGAGGGGCCTCTCCCACTTCCTGGAGCATCTATCGGGCCCTGTGAGATCCAGCCATGCCTCAACCCATCTCCAGGGCAGGAGGTTCTAGCCCTTCCTTGGGCACCTTGCCCAGTCATCTTCACAACCCACTCCCACCCGTAACAGCAGCTCCCCATCCTCTTGAACAGTTACCTAGAGCTGGGGACGCTTCCCAAGTCTCCCCTTAGTTATCCTCTCTGCACCGAGCCTGCGCAGCCCTTAGATCTTCCTTTCTGGGGCTGTCACCATTCAGCCGCTTGCTGGCATCTCTCAGTCACACAGTGTGTATGTGTGGTGGGGGGAGGTGACCCTACCCATGCTTGGGGTGACTCCAGAGCTCTGACTAACATAAGCCAAGAGTGGAAGACAGGGGTGGGTCACTGTGCTGTTCAGTGCACTCCCCCAAAGCTCTGGTATGGGCCACTGTCAGAGACAAGACACTGGGCAAGATGGACCCTGGTTTGGCCCAGCTCTTAGGAGTGGTGGGGGAAGCCCTAGGCCGAATGGAGGCCCACACACCCCACACCAGCTCTGGCACTCACAGGCTGAAGAAGAGCTTCTCGTTGATGCCGGAGATGGATGCTGCCATGGCCAGCGCGAGGATGGTGGAGCCGAAGAAGACGTGAACAGGCTTGTAGATGATCCGCAGCCAGGCAGGGGACCAGGGTAACAGGAAGGCAGTGAACCCCATGAGCCACTAGGATGGGGGAACAGAGAAGAGTTTGGAGCACAGAGTGGATCAAGCCATGGCACAGGCAGCCAACAGCAAGAGGGGGAGCCAGGGCAGAGCTGGGCATCAGAGGGGGAGGCTGGGCACCCACCTGGCAAGAGAAGAACAGCACAGCTGCCAGCCCCAGCCAGCTGTGCAGCGAGTACATGTTGGGGGTGCCCTGGGCATTGTGGAACCCGAAGACGGCAACGAGCCCCAGCACGACCAGGACAAAGGCTGCTAGGGTCAGCGCCGCGTGCAGCAGCTTCCACGGGAGCTTGGGGCCCGCCCAGGAGCTGGGCACCCGGTACACCAGCACCGCTGCAGGGGAGAGAGGCCGGCACACTCAGAGCAACCCTTGTATCCACATCCCAGCCCCCGACGCACCCCCAGGGACAGCACCCACTTACCCGCCCCATACAGAACCAGCATGCCTGTCACCATGCAGATGGGGTGCCAGTTAAACATCTTGGTGGAGCCATCCCAGGCAAAGCCTCCGCGCCAGTGCTGGGACCAGAACCCTGTGAACACCACACACAGGAGCCCCAGGGTGCCCAGCAGGGCCGAGAAGGGCAAGAACTGGAAGGTGGGCATCACTCCAGCAGCAGGGACTGCACCTGAGGGGGGAAATACCATGCCAGCCGATTGTACTGCCCAGCCTGTGCCCTGCTGCACTCTGAGCAAATCGCTGCCCCCCACGCCAGACCCTGCACAGCCCACTAGGCTCTGCTGCCTCTCGCCCACCCTCCCTCCCTGACCTGCCACCCCTCACCCGCCCTCCCTCCCTCTCCTCCGTAGGGCTCCGTCTGCCCCTCACTCGCCCACCTGTCTTCCCTCCACTGGGCTCTGGCCACCCTCGCCCACCCACTCAGCCTCCCTCCTCTCCAGCCACCCTTCACCCGCCGAACTCCGTCCACCCCTCACCCACTTGCCTGGCCTCCCTCCTCTCCAGCCACCCCTCACCCGCCCGGCCTCCCCTCCCTCCGCCGGGCTCCTACGCCACCCCTCACCTGCCCGCCTTCCCTCTCCTCCGCTCCCTCCCCTCCACTGGGCTCCATCCGCTCCTCGCCCACCTGCCCTCCACCGGTCTCCGGAGGCCCCTCGCCCGCTCCTCACCCGCCCACCCTCCCCGCCTGGCTCTGGACGCCCCTCACCCGCCCACCCTCCCCACCCAGCTCCAGCCGCCCCTCACCCTGCCTCTCCACTGGCCTCACTTTCCCTCCTTCCCTCTCCAGCAGCCCCTTGCCTGCCAGCCCTCCCTCCAACCTCCACCTGGCTCCAGCCGCTCCTCATCCGCCCTCCCTCACCTCCACCAACCTCTGCCAACTGCTGTCAGCCAATGCCCTCCTGTCTCAGAAGGCTGGTTATAGAACCAGGAGCAGGCGGAGCCCCAGAGTTAATCAGACCGGATCAACAGCTGCTTTAAGTGCAGCCTTAAGTAACAAGCTGCAGGTGGGCGGGGAGGAGCAGCCAACTGCCCTGAACCCAACCAGAACGGATCCTTCTGGTTGGGAGCTGGCAGGGAAAGTCTCCAGAGACAGAGATGATTTTAGATAATCAAACCTCTGCAGCTAGAGTTCAGAGGGCAAGAGAGGCCTCTGCCCACCCTGCAGCCTTCACTCCCCTTCCCCTGGAGGACAGCAGGGATCCCAGGTTCCCAAGTAGAGAAGAGCCCTGTTCTCCCCCCTCCTCCCCAAGGAGTCCCTGCCCTACAGCACTCACACTCTGAAGACCTGTGCTGAGCCAATCAAACCCAACAGCCAGGAGCTGGGCTTTGGGGATGCTGTGCCCACACGCCAGCAACCAGCATGACACGGACCCAGCCCCCGCAGCACCGAAGGCTCTCCCACCAGCTGCCACGAGTATCCACAATGGGCTGGCCAGATCACCAGCTGGCACCAGAAGCACAAGTAGAGTCCAGCAGCCTTCCCACGTGGAAAACACAACCTGACCAGCCACAGAGAGGGAGCTATCTCCAGCCCAGGGGTTTCAGATCCTCCAAAACACCACCCACTCCCCCAGCGCCCAGAGAGAAAGGAAGGGCCCTCGTCACAGTCACCGAGCCTCCTGCCTGCCACCCTAGTGGCTGCACCTGTGCTTGGCACTTCCTGTGGGGAGGCAGCGGGTCATGAGACCCTCCCAACTTCTGCTTTCAGATCAGCACTGCACAGCCACTGGGAGGGGGAGGAGCACAGAGCTAAAGGCACCTGAGACCAACAGTAGAGAGCTCGGGGGAGGGACATCATACATGGGAGTGGGGCTGATCCCCCTGCCTCACTCACCCAATGCTCAATCCTGCCCTGCAGCACCCCCTGCTATTCCCATCACAGGGCCCTCTCCAACTCTGCACCCTATTTCTGACAGTATCCAACTATGCTGTTCCTGTACCACCCCCTCCCCCACCAGAGATTGAGTCTTTAAAGCCAGAAGAGATTATTAGATCATCTAGTCCAGTGGTGCTCTCCAGTGGTTCTTTTGTACTGGTGACTCCTTTCACATAGCAAGCCTCTGAGTGCGACCCTCCCCCTTATAAATTAAAAACACTTTTAAATATATTTAACACCATTATAAATGCAGGAGGCAAAGCAGGGTTTGGGGTGGAGGCTGACAGCTCGCAACCCTCCATGTAATAACCTTGTGACCCCCTGAGGGGTCCCAACCCCCAGTTTGAGAACCCCTGATCTAGTCTGACCTCCTGTGAAACACTGGGTGACCATTCTTGGGGCGACCAGGACTGAGTCACCTCCAGCTGCCAGCCACAGGGAGCCTTGCTTGTGCTTAGCTGGGTGATAGCCCCCTGACACCGCCAGCCTGTTAGCCACCAAAACCATCTCCGCTGGGCTAGGCCAGTCCTCACTTTGCCTTGCAAGTTAACAATCAGTGCACCCCGGGCCCCTTCGAAGCTTCCCCTATGATATCCAGCCTCTTCTCCACTGAACACCCACAGTAATACCAGCTCTACTGTCCCCACGGGAACTGCGCTCACACCAGCTCCGGATCAGCTCCTGGTCTAATACCACAGCACTGAGATATATTTACAGTGGAAATAAGGATGATAAACTACTCAAGATTCAAGAGATCATGAGTAAGGATGATGGAAACAAAAGGGTTACATATAAAATAAAATCATAACACGATTCCTAGAGACTAAACTGAGCAGGCTAACCTTCCATCTAAAGACATTATATCTCACCCAAACATCCTTCGCAGCGTTTCAGGCAAGGCTGTGATCCCGTTTTCGTGAAAGTAACTGCACTGCCCAATTACTTCCTAGGTGCAGGACAAAGGGATGTCTTCCTTGCCTTCCCCAGAGTTCACTGTTTGTACCCCGAGTCAGCATAACCCCTGGGGCTTATTGTCCTGTGTTTTGCTATCCTGTTGTTGTCATAGCCCCCTGTTGACTCTGTGACGGTGGGTTTCCACTGTGTCAGCTTACACTGCTTGATTTAGACGTCAGCAGACAGGTGACTAGACATGCCTGTGTCCAACAGAAAACCCAGACCTGAAGAAGAGCTCAGTGTAGCTCGAAAGCTTGTCTCTTTCACCAGCAGAAATTAATCAAATAAATGGGTGGAAGTAAGCCGGTATGGACTGGTACGGCCCACCGGTAAAAAGTGGCTGCCGGTACTGGCTCGTAGCAGTAGACGTTAAAGCGCTGCCGCGGCAACACTTTAAGCAGGGTCCTTTGCCACGGCAGCGCTTTAACATCATTGCCCCTTTTGCCCCCCCGGGCTGCCGAGGGGGGGGGGCAAAAGGAGCAGCTGCCCTGGGACCAGCAATTTAAAAGGACCCAGGGCTCCGGCCGCTAGCACAGCAGCAGTGACCGGAGCCCCGGCCCTTTAAATCGCCGCTGGAGCCCTGGGCGGTGCGGGCCAGGCAGCATGGACCGGCTGGCTGGCTGGCGGACGCTGAACCGTAGCCCCTCCCCTTCCGCCCGAGGCACCGGCCCCCGTACTGGTAAGTGCTGAGTGTTACTTTCACCTCTGCTAATAAAAGATATTACCTTGCCCACCTATACGCACCAGGATATTCTTGTAACCCTGTGTCAAGTGGCGCTGAGGGGTTCTTAAGGTCACAAGTAGGCCATTATATTTCACCCTGGTAGCCCTGTGTGGAATCAAGTAACATGTAACACTGCCCTACAGCACTCCCAGGCTGGCCTTGTGCTGAGCTGACGCCATCAGGAGAGACGTCTCTCTGCAATGGGACAGACTCTCCACACAGGGTTACGCCAACCCTATGACTAAGTGCACACTAGCAAGTTCTCAGGAACTGGGGGGTGGCATCTCATTTGCTTAGAGATCTGCATCCTCCACCAAAAATACACCCAGCCACCTCAAGGGAGGAAAAGAGCTGCTCATGGGTGAGATTACCAGCAGTGAACACTACAGCCTCCCAATGATCTCTGGGAGTGGGTGGCTGCAAACTCCAATAGGCCCTGGGCCTCACTTTGTGTATCCCAGTCTAGTGTCATACCTCTCACATGTCTGCAGATCCAGGGACCTTCAGTCCTATCCACTGGGGTTTATGCAGATGAGCACACATGGACTAACCGTGCGGTGATACAGAGTTTAATGTCTGCAGCCACAGGAATCCTGCCTGCTGGATGATCAGCAGTTAAAATGCCTGGAGGTCAGGAAAGGAGTCTAGGAGTTGAAAGCTCTTTAAGGCAAGTTTTATGCCCTCTTACTTGCATCCAGTGCTCAGCACAATAGGACACCGGATTCTGATTGGAGCTTCTGCAATAATGGTCTTCAGCATGTATGTGAAGAGCACCATTTCCTAGTCAGGATCTCAATGTGTTTGTGCATTGAGAGGTTAGATACAACTGCTAAGCAATCGGACAAAACAGTAAGTACCTCTCGGCAGGAACCAATCAGCATCATGCACAGCGGTAGCACTCGTGATCATTTGCACCAATGGCTTTGCCCCGACTCACTCTGTAGCCCCTCAGCCTCATCTTCCCTACCAGAAAAACATGGATTGTGATGCTTGCCTGTTGCCCAGGAAGGGCTGGAATGCATAAAGCACTTTGAGAGAGCTGGAGGGAAAGTGCTGTACAAACATATTGTCTATTATACCCAAGAGCTGCTGGTTCCCAGCCCCCTGCTAAACGCACAAAGCTGAGGGAGGATCAGCAGGACTCCTGCTGCCCCCCACCCAAATGGAGCAATTCCAACCCAAACCCTTCGGGAGAGGATGCTCCAGAGATGCTGAGAGGATTTCAAAAAGGACAGAAAGCCCAGTCCCGTGTCCAGTCTCACACAATAGCACCAACTCCAAGCATCCAAAAGTTACAGGTCCAGTCCTAAAAAATCATGAGAGTGCCTTAAAAAATCATAAGGCCTTTTTAAAATAAATAAATAAATAAATTTGGGGAGAACAAGCTGGTGGGAGAAATCTGAAGTGCAAGAGAAACAAAAAAGAATGAATGACTCAAAGGAGCTTGAGAGAGCAGGTCATGATAATGAGACCATCAAAAAATGCACACAAACAGGCCAAAGAAGGCTACAAAGGCAGTTGCTAAGGCAAGAATGGAGGCTAAAGAGGAATTAAACAGAAAACTGCAGGAAGATGATGGCAGGAAATCGGTTTTTGGGTTGGCAAAAAAAAAAGGAACACTAAAGCACAAGAAATGAAGAAATCTTCATATGTGAAGGATAGGTACTGTGTGGTGGTGACTAACCCCAAACAAGTTGTAGGAGCTATGGAAAAAATAATTCTAAAGGCTGTTAAATGAGAAGAGAGTTACAAGTGCAAGCACTGCTGATAATTTTGGGGAAGCCTCCAAAGGTATATAAGAGATTGAATAGGATGAAGAATGGTAAAGCATTTGGAGAAGATGAAATAATTGTTGGTATGATCAAGGTAGTTGGAAATACTGGAGTAAAGTGGCATCACAGATTACTCAGAGTTTGCTGGGATCAAGCTAGGATACCAAATGACTGGAGAATAGGGTTGATTGTGCCTCTCTGGAAGGGTAAAGGTGATGCAAATGTTTGATCTGAACTGCTGTCACAGCATCACCTTGTTAAGTCAGCCTCAAAGTCCTGGAGAGAATTTTGAAGGCAAGGATGAGGTGCAAGGTGGAGAATATAGGAGAGAAGCAACATGGCTTTAGGAAGGGAAGGAGTCAATAGACACAATATTGTTAATGAGACAGAAGTTTAGAAGAATGATAAGTGGAGGGCATAACTACTATGTAGCATTTATTGATCTGGAGAAAGTGTATGACTTGGTTCCATGGGAGCTGGTGTTTGCAGTATTAAGATAGATGGGCAGGGGTGTTCAAGAAGTGGAGATGATAAACTAGCTGTATCAAGGGTCAACAGCTAAGGTGAAAACTATACATGCGATTCAGAATTTTGAAGTGACAATCAGATTGAGACAAGGCGGTATGCTGAGTCCACTTCTCTTCATCCTAGTTATGGCGTTAATTAGTAGGAGAACCAAGTCTGTGGAGACACAGAGAAAACTAAGGTATGCTGGTGACCTGGCCCTTTTAGTTGACAGCAGAGAGGAATTATTAAATATCTTATGAGAGTGGGCCTCTGTGTTTGAAGCTAAACATAAAGATAACTGAAGTTGTGCAAGTAGGCAAGGCTGAAGAAGAGCTGTTGATAGAAGTTTCAGGAGAGATGCTGAATCAGAAGAATTTGTGTACTTGGGAAATACACTTAGTACCACTGGAGGGTGGGGAGAGGGAAAGAACCCAATGTGCATGGGCCGCAGTGAAAAAAGTGGCAGGAGTACTGGGGGAGTGGCAATTAACTAACAAGCTGCAAGGAAAAGTGTATGCTGCCTGCATTTGTCCCTGCCTGCTCTAGTTTGGAAACAGTGGGTCTTACAGAGATGGAAGAGAAAACAAAAGATATAGGTAGCAGAAAATACTATAGTGAGGAGAATGGCAGGCAAGCAGAGAGTAGACAGAGCACACAGGGAAGAAGTTAGGGGGAAGTTGAACTTGGGACTCTCAATGAGAGATAGGCAGGAGAGCACCAGAGCTCGTTTGAACGACCAGCAAAGAAAGCACAGGAGAGGACAGCAAGAAAGGGCATGGAAGACCAATGATACAACAGAGTCAGTCAAGAGAAGTTTGACAAAAGGGCTGGAACTTCGAGTCCTAGACCTATGAACCCAAGTCATGGACCCAAAGGAGTGGCAAAGAATCATGGGCACCTCTGGGTCTGCGTAAATGGAAAAGAGGTCAAGAAATGAAGTGAATGAATGCAAGGCTCACTGTATTTCCCTCGTGCTGTATGAGTCTCCGGAAGCATGCAGCATCACGATTTCCAGATTTTCTCTGCAACCATGACGGCTAGAAACTTACTTAACTCAAAAGGGCTGATTCTTGTGCAATCTCCAGCAGCTGAGGCCTTACGAGCGAACACTAAGAATCATGAGACTCACAATAAAGGGGTGAGCTGGCACCATTTAACAGAGCAGGATTCAGAGCAAGGCATTGGCGATGCAGGGGTGCCTATCCCCCAGCCTGTAACTAGCCCCTTGTGAGCAACCCCTTTAGCATGCCAGGTCCCCAGGATCCGCACAGTCCCCTGAGGGCAGGCCTGGGGCCAACACACCATGAAAAGTGGGCCTTGGGGCACCAGTGAACCAGGTAGGGTAACAAGAGAGCAAGTGTGAAAAATCGGGACAGGGTGGGAGGGTAATAGGAGCCTATATAAGAAAAAGCCCCAAAAATCAGGACATCTGGTCACCCTAGAGCCAGGGCTCCCTGCAGCCAGGCCAGCCCCTCACGCCTCCACCCAAGGGTCAAAGCCAGGCCCGGCTGGGGAACTGGGGCCCTATGCCAAGGGAGTGCTGCTGGGCCATTTCACTGGGCTGGGGGAGGGGTCACCAGGTCACCTGCTGCCCCACAGTAGTGCCCCCCATTGCCCCTTGGACTGGTCCTCTGACCCCTCCCCTGCGTCCACCCCACCGCCCGTCCAGCTCGCACCTCACGTCCGGCCCCGCCGCGGTGCACGCTGGGAGCGGTAGTTCCAAGGGTCCACGGAACCCCCGCGGCTCACCATGAGCAGCCGCGCGGTCGGCTCGCCTCCCCCTTACAGCCACGCCCCGCGCCAGGCACTTCCGAGTCTCGCCCTCCCCCGCGGCACTATGGGAAACGGAGTCTTCGCCGTCCAGCAGCCTCCGCAGCTCATAGAGACGAGAACTCTGCCCCACTCTATGATCCAAGGCATCCGGAGGTGCCCCTGGGTTCTATCTGAGCGCTTCCGGTTCCGCCGGCCGGACCGGTCGCCAATGGCTGTGCGGTCTCCATGGGGATGGAAGATGGCGGCCCGAGGTACGTGCGAGGCCCGGCCCGGCCTGGCTGGGGGAAGGCAGCTGCGCCCGGGGGAACTGCAGGAGGCGCGATCGGGCCGCTGCGCCCTGGTTATGCAACCAAGGCCCGGGGGGTTCCTGGTGGGGGCCGGGGCTCGGGGGGTTCCCTGGCCGGAACCATTGGAGGGGGGCCGAGGGGGCCCCTAGGTGTGGAGGCATCAGAAAGCTCCTGGGTCTCCGTGTCCCGAGTCCCCGGAGGCGCTGAATTAAGAGGGATGTCAATTACGATGTCCCAGAATCGCCCCCGTAAATGTTGGCAGGGATTCGCCCTGGCCTTCCTGCCCCCACCTACGTGCGATCCCCTAGTATTGTTGCCCCTCCCACTGGGGGTGACCCAATTTGTTACCCCGACCCCCAGGCGGTGTACGGTACACACATACACATGCGTTATAGCAATCGGGGGCGGGGGGGGCTGGCTGGCTCTGAATTGCATTTCCTCTTTTCTCCTATGGACAGACCTATATCCCCTCCCCACGGGTGGGTAAAACCTCATCCCTGGTGTGGCAACCTGCCTCAGCTCCTATTCCTTGTCTCCTCTTCCCTGCCCGGGGTGATCCTGAGTCTCCAGGAAGGATCCCTCTGCTCCAGTCTCAGGCTGTGCGTGAGTTGCCCCAAATAAGATCACCCCATTGTCCTCTGCTCAACCCCGTGTCCCTTCACACCACTACCATTGTGGCTGTGCCCCCGCTGGCTCCCAAACCCAAATATATTTATGATCCTCTTCCCTTATGGGCATCTGTAACCCCCCAAGATTCTGTCTCCTCTATTCTTCCTCCAGGGTTATGTCCCCCCCCCACCTTCCTCCAAACGTATTCTCTGCCAGTCTGTGGCCTGCCATAATCCTAAAGTAACCTGGGTCAGGCAGAACGAGAGCCCTCTGACTATGACTCACAGGGTAGAGAGCACCCTGGGTTAGGGCATGGCTCTGCATGGAGCCCCTGAGATCCTCTCCCTGGTATGCCTGCAGCCCCTAGGTAGGAGAGCGCCTGTGTTCTGGGTGAAGGGAGTCCAGGGTTACTGCTATGACCCTTAAGGGTGTTCTCTTGTAAATATCTTTGCTCTCTAGCCTGGAGCTTGGCTGCTGGCTAGCTGAAACTGAGAAGGTCCGATGGATTTGGGCCCAGGTACTGTCTGGGAGCATGTGAAGCAGTTTGGGGAGAACCCCTGGCCAATCTTGGCTTTTGGTTGAGCTGCAGCTTCACCCCTAGGTCAGGTAGGCATTTGCCACAGGCCCTGCTGGAGATAAACCCTTTCTGACCTTCTCTTCCAGACTCCAGAGCTCAGCTGTAGGGAGCAGGGAGAGGCTGTGGTGCAGGAGGGGAGCCGAAGCCCCTCTGGCCCTGAGGATGAGCTGGCTCTGTTCTCTGGAATGCACACGCTGAGGGCCCTGGGAAAGGAAGATGCTCCGGACTAGTAACTACAGCCTGGTGCTCTCCTTGCAGTTCCTGCTGATCGTCTATGACCTCTTTGTCAACTCCTTCTCGGAGCTGCTCCGCACAGCCCCCGTCATCCAGCTTGTGCTCTTCATGTGAGGCAGCAGGGGCTAGCGGTTGTATTGGGAGAGCTGGGTTCACTTCTCAGTTGTGGGAGGGAGTGCAGGCTAGTGGTTAGAGCAGGGGACTGGGAGTCAGGAGCCCTGGGTTCTCTTCCAGCTCACTGCCACTGTAGCCAAGAAAATGGGGATGAGAGGACACACTGAGGCAATGGAGTGGAGGGGGAGGACTTGGGGAAGGTTTTGTCCTCCTTCCCCTGCAGTGTGCAGCAGTACCTGACTGCTTTCCTCTGAAGCATCAGTTGCTAGCTGCCAGGGGGGAGGGAGGCGTAGCTGCAGGGAGAATCTGGTCTGTGGACCGTGGCTCCATTCCCAGAGCCAGCCCGTGTTCTTGGCACTAAGCCAAGTGTCAGTTACATAAAGATCTGGGGAGGAACATCTGTGTCTGCCCAGATCAATTATCAAAGCAGGGAATTACTGCACTAGGAGGGGCTGCCTGGGTTGGAGGAACCACCCAGAGCTGGCTGCCTCTCCTTCCAGGGGCCTGGTGCACGGTGTTGTTCCAGCACAGGCTTTGTGTTTTGCTGTGTAGGCCAGGGCAGCTGGGACACCCCCTAGGACAGAGGGCAATGCTTGTGTTGGCCACTGTGTCCAGCACATGGCCCCAGGGAGGGCTGTGGTCTCTGGAAGTGTGCTCATGCATCTGTCTCCCTGCAGCATCCAGGATATCGCCATCCTCTTCAACATCATCATCATCTTCCTCATGTTTTTCAACACCTTCGTCTTCCAGGCCGGCCTGGTCAACCTCCTCTTCCACAAGTTTAAAGGGACCATTGTCCTGTCGGCAGCTTACTTGGTTCTGAGCATCGCCTTCCACATCTGGATCATGGTAAGGCAGGGCTTGTTCTCAGGGGGCGTAGGAACAGCTGTACACATCTGTCTAGATGGGTAGCTCACCCTCTTCCGGAGCAGCTGGGAGCCTGGTGCATCTGATATGATACCCACTTCCTGTAGTCCCAGAACCACCCACTGGTCTGATGTCCTGCCCCAGCTGGACACTATCCATCTGCTCTGCTAGCCCCCTTCTGGCATAAAGGTTTAGAGAGGGCCAAAATTCCCCATTGTGCAGCAAGCCAGTCCTGCCACACTCTATAAGCAGTGTGTTGTCTTGGCCTCCTGCTGGAGAGCAGCTTATCCTGAGGGAGGAGGGCTGACCCCTGAGCCTGGAGAGATCAGAGCTTCACTCAGGGCCCCTCTCCCCTTGCAGCTCCAGAGAGGGAGGATTGCTGCTCTGTGGAACGTGTCCGTCTCCCAAGGAGGCAGCAGCGCATCTCTGGAGAGTGTGGGGCACTCTAAGGAGAGGAGTGAGGTACCAGGAGCTGCCGCTAAGCACCCTTGCACCTGGGCCCTCGCTGATTGGGGGATTCACCCCATGCTTCAAGCAGGGGGATTGGGCCTGGAGTAGAAGTGGGGGAGGGATACAAGTCCCACTTCCTCTCCTCTCCCTTGGAGGGAGCTCAGCTGGGCTCCGTGCAGCCCTTCCCCAGCACCTTCCTCCCAACTTGTGACAGGGAGCATTGTTCCTCCCCAACTCAGATCCTTTCTTTGGGGGCACATGTGCTCCCCAGCCTCCCCCTCTCTTCTTGGAGATTGGCCGTGGGGCTGGGCAGAAGCACGCCCCATCTGCCAGATTTGGGGAGAGCTGCTCCTCCCACTAGGCAGCATAGTCAGTTATGGCTCTTTGGGGACCTAATCTGACTCGGGTCTGCGAGCAGCCCTCCTGGCCACTTCAAGCAGAGTCCCCACTGCCGAGAGCAGGAGTGGGGCCTCACGCAGCAGCCTGTTGCATGGCCATCGGCAGGTGCTGGTGTCCTGGGCCTTGTGCTCTCTTGATGTCATGGTAGGAAACATGGCTGGGGGAGGCAACTCCACAGTGAGAGTTTATTTGGAGGGGGGATAGTTTGGGATTCAAAATACATTTGAATCCAACTCCTCCCTTGGCGGCTGGGGCCAGAGGATGGCGGAGGCATTGGTTCTGCCCTCAGGAGCTGTCCCAGGAGTGTCAGAATGCTCACAGTAGGGAAATCAGAGGTGTTCACTCCTAAAGAGGTGGTGGAGTGGCTGCACTGATCCATCTAGTGTGGTAGCCCACTCCCTCCTGGCACAGCTTGGGCCATTGGCCAGTCTGTTGATATCCTATCACTTCCTCCCAAAGGGATTTTGCTCCATCTAAAAACCCAAATCACTGCTCAGCAGAAGCCAGGCCTCAGAGAACACCCTCCTGGCAGGGGACTGTTGGAGCTAGGGTGGAAACTGACCTGTGTCCTCAACTGTGGTACCCATGAGAGGGCGGTACAGCAAGAGCCTTTCCCTTTGAAATCCCCCTCCTTCCCTTTTCAGCTCCCCCCTGAGCAGCAGCTCCTGGTCTCGCCGGTTCTGATCAGGATCTAACAGATTAACAATTGCATCCTGGGTTGGATCATGTGTGGGAGCCCTAGGGAGTTGGGTTTACACGGATGCCTGGCTTGGTCGGTACTTGCCCTGGAAAGCTCCCAAGCCTGCTTTAGAGTCTTGCTGGAATGGCTTCCCCACCAACAAGGCTAATCCTTGGGTGAGCAGTGCCAATGTCCGCGCAGGGCAGTGCATGGGATAAATCCCCACCAGGAACCAGTGCTGGTTGCAGCAGCTACAGGCTGCGAGTGTCTGTCCCAGTTTGGGTTGGAGCAAGCACAGCTGCTGGCAGCTCTGCTTGTGCCCTGCCCTCCTCGGAGGAGAAGGGTAGGGAGGGTTGCTCTCTCCCCATCCTCAAGACACCCACCATCCCCTCCTCGCCACTCCCATTAACTCTTTCCTGCCCTGTCTCTTAGGCACTGCGCCCTCCCCCCTTTGATCTCACCCACAGCGCAGAGTCTGTCTCTGCTACCTGCTGCGACATTGCCAGTCTCTTAAAGGGCTAGCTCCACAAATCCCATTTCTCTGCTGGAGCTGCTGCTTGGCTCTGAGACGCCGGGGTGAGCACTGGGGTGACCGGCTGGCTGAGTCTAGTAGTACCTGGCCCAAAGCCACAGGATAATAAACCAGCCTCTTGTGTTGGATTCGACCGTTTGGTGCTGAAGAACATCAGTAATAAGAACCACTGACGCTTGTAACCCGCTGGAACAGAGCATCATGGTGAGGCACTGCCAGCCAGATACCAGCTGCCTTTGCTGCCATGAATGCCGTGGTCCCCCTCTGCCCTGCTCCAGCACCCCCCAGCCAGGAATTTCAGAACACCTGCCATCCAGCGCCCCCCCATGAAACAGGGAGCCACCAGCATCATCTCCCCTCCCTCCCTCCCCCCCTGCCACTGCACAGACGGTGACATTGAGGCACAGAGAGGGGCTCAGGGTCAAATCCTCAAGGGTATTTAGGTGCCTAACTCCCATTGAAATCAGTGGGAGTTAGGCACCTATATACTTCTGAGGAACTGGGCCTAGATGACTTGCCCAAAGCCACCGAGTTAGTGAGTAGCTGGGCAGCGGGATTTAAGAGGATTTTCTAGGATCTGTGTTGGGAAGCTTGACTGGGTCTTGGTGTTCTGTATAAATCCGCTGATCTGATTAACCTTTGTGTGCTCCCTGAGCTGCTCCCTGCCACTCACACCCCCGCTCGTAGGGAGGAGGAGGGAAGCCTCTAGACGGCTGGGCCCCAGGGATGGGCTCAGAGAGGGGGATGGTTCTTGTTGGGAAAGGGTTGCTTTGGAAAGTGGATCAGTACAGTGATAATGCATTTCTCCCCCTGCTGAGGGGCTCAGCCACTAGGGGGAGTCCTCTAACCCTGGGGAGATAGGGAGCTGCTTCCCACTGGGGATCTGGAGTAAGTGACATGGGGAGGTGACTGAATGGAGCAGCCCGGAGAAGAAAGGAGCAAGGAAGTGAGTAAAGGGACTCAGCGTGCTGAGCTCTGTGGTGGGCTGGGCAGGTGCTCACGTGGCCGTTTCCTGCCCCCTGATTTCCCTTGTGCCTCTCTCTCCTTCAGAACCTGCGCTGGAAAAACTCCACCCGCTTTGTATGGACGGACGGGCTGCAGGCCCTCTTTGTGTTCCAGAGGCTGGGTAAGGGCCAAGCTCCATCATGGACCCCAACACGCACACACAGACCACAGCCCCAGAGCAGAGCTACCATAGCTGGTGGTGGGCTGGCCCCATCTGCCTTCCCTGCAGTCTCCCTAGGCTGGGCTTGGGGTGGGTTTGTTAGGGAATGGCAGCTCTATGTTCCCATGAGTCATACCAACCCCTTCCCATTGGTGCTGGATCTCAGGGAGGCTCTGCCTGTCCTGAAGGTCCCCAGGGCACACTGGGGTGATCCAGCTGGTGGAGGATGGGGTGGGGGAGAGGACATTCCCCAGCCGGCTGTGTTGTCTCACCTTCCTCTCGCTGTCCCCAGTGGCCGTGCTGTACTGCTACTTCTACAAGAGGACGGCCTTGCACCTGGGGGACCCCCGCTTCTACCAGGACTCCCTATGGCTGCGCAAGGAGTTTGCTCAGGTCCGCAGCTGATGGCTTCCTCCAGGACCCAGAGCCGTGGCCGGTCCGTGGCTGCTCCCAGCTGGCTGGCATGGAGCCCCCCGTTCCACCTGCGCTCTCTATCAGCTGTCTGAGAAGCGAGTGTCTCTCAAGCCTGGTCTCACACTCCATCCCATGAACTAAACAGGCTGGAGAGATCCCATCAAGAGACGTGTCATCCTCGCACCTGCTGCTTTGCTGGTTGCCCGCTCAGGCTCTCCCTCATCCCCAGTAACTCATTCCACTCCCCTCTTGCAGATCAGCGAGCGATTCCTGCCCCTTTCTCTCTAGACCCAGCTGCAGCCTCACTGAGGAGTGATCCGAAGTGCCAAGCAGGTTTGGCTGAGGACTCCTGTCCTGTAACTGCAGCATGGCTCCTCTTCATCCAGAACAATCCTTCCACCAGCCCTACGCACAGCTAACTCGCCGCCTGACCAATGGGGTCCTGTTGGTATCGGCTCCATTTGGCCTCCGCTTTGCATATCTGGTGGGATGAGGTGCCAGGACGCAGCCTGTCCTAGCCGCGCAGCGTTAGGCCTGTCCTGGTGGTAGACCCTCCTTTTGTACCTTCGTATTTTTGTAAATTATGAGACAATAAATTGGCTTCATTTTCCAGAAACGTCCTTGTGTGTGCATGTTTTGGGTGCACCCTCCGTACCCCAGGCCCTGTTCTATCCTAGGAGTATGTGTCCCCCTCCCCCCCAAAAAACACTGTTCTGTTCTAGCCCACATTGCAGCTAATTCCCCTACTGGGGGCAGGAGTCCAATGGCCAGAACAGACACTCTCCATGCAGCTGCTGAGCTGCCTGTGATGTTTAGTCATTCTCCAGTCATGGATCAGGGCCCTGTTGAGCTAGCCACTGCAGAAACACAGAACAAAGATGGCTGCCACCCTAAAGGGCTGACAATGTAAGCAGTAGGCAGGAGACAATAAGACAATACTGGTCACCTTGACTGGTGGTGGTAGCAGTAGGGTCTGCGTTCCTACCACACAGTAGGCATTACTGAATGGGCAACTGCTGAATTCCTCCATCAGCTTGTTGGAGGGCTGAGCAAGGTGCAGAGCCTTGGTAAAGGCCAGGGCAGAGGTGTGTATCGGGAATGGTGCCGTAACATAGGGCAGGCAGAGTTACATGTAGACCCACATAACATAGCCCTTGTTTCCCATGACATTCCAATCTTGGAGGGGAGAGAAGATAAAGCACTTGCTAGCCTAATGATCTCAGCTAGATGGAGAAACCCTTCAGCTTGCCAGTGAGCTGTGTTTTCAGCATTGGCTTATTTCCAAGCTGCCTGCTCCAGAGGAAGGGGCCTGGGTGGTGTCTTGTGGTGATCAGAGCAGAAGGGAGTACAGTCAGGAGTTAGTTATTCAGAAATAAATTCTGTAATTCAGAACCATGTATTTCCTTTTTCCAGACAGGCTATGGGGAAGAGGTTGGACAGTGACCCAACTATGCTGCTTTGGGGAAGGGAATGGGGGTCACTGGTGAGCAAGGGGGATTACACCAATGCTGGGGGAGGGATATCTCCAAATGACCTGTGTTGTCTGTGGGTCGGGGTGCTGAAGGAGGGAACAGGGTCTCAGTGGGAAGCAGTGCCGGGGGTACTGCAGAGCGACCAGCCTTGCTGTTAGAGAGGGAGATCAGGATCCATAGCGGACTGTGAGGCACTCAATATTAGCCATGAGCCCCTGGATAGCAGGAGGAGCCAATAGCTGCGTTGCCAACTCTTATGCATCCGAAGAAGTGGGCTGTAATCCACGAAAGCTTATGATCTAATAAATTTGTTAGTCTCTAAGGTGCCACAAGTCCTCCTGTTCTTTTTGCGGATACAGACTAACACGGCTGCTACTCTGAAACTTGCCAACTCTTGTGATGGGATGACAAATCTTGTCATAAAGCTCCTGGAGGCAAGAGGCCGGGGGAGCATCGCAATGTCCCCAGCTGCGGGTGGGCAAAGGCAACGAGCCACGCAGGCAGGAGACGGGCTTCGAACCCAGGAGATGTTAAACCAATAATCAAGGCGGGGGGACGAGGGTGTCTGAGCCGGCAGGCTCCCGGGGGGTCCCTGGGCTGGCTGGAGGAACCCTCCGGGGCAGCGCGGAGATGCCGGGACTCCGGGAGCTGGAGCTTTACGCAGAGCCCCAGCCCCGGAGGGCCTGCCTCTGCCACCGCCACCAAACAACGCAGCCCCCGCTGCACAAAGCCCGGCGGGTCCTCCAGCACCATCGAGCCGCGGGGCTGAGCCGGATGGAGCGGCGCGAGCCGCTCTGGCCCCGCACTTCCGCTTCCCTAGTCCGCGTTGCCGGAAGCGATGTCGCTGGGTGACAGTTTCCATGGAGATGGAAGATGGCGCCCAGAAGTAAGTGCGGGGAGGGGGTCCCGGATTCCCTCCCCCCCAGCCCGGTGCGTGGGACACCCCCTCCCCCCCAGGAGCCTTCACCGAGTGCGGGGCGGCAGCATCCGGGGGCGCATGCCGGGGGGCTGTGCCACGTGACTCCTAATCCTTGCGGGAAAGACACGTGACCTCCCCATTCCCACCTTCGGGGTGCACGTCCCCCTGCCCCACCTTCTACATGGGATGCCACGTGACCTCCCACTTCCCTGACCACCCTGGGGCTGCCATGTGACCCCGTCCTCGCGGGAAGGGCCCTTGACCTTCCCCTCCATGGGGGGGAGGAGCACATCCCTTCCCCCAATCCATCCCAGGGGGCCACCTGCCTCCCTTTCCCCCACCCCATGGACGGAGCTATGCCCCCCCCGCAGCCCTGTTTCCCTCTGATTCCCTCCAAGCCTTTCACCCCAGATGCTGATGGAGAGGGTGTCCCTGCCCAATCGCCCCCTCCTGCACCTTCAGGAGCTGGTTTAAACGAGCAGATTTTATATCTCAGGAAAGCACCGAGCTCCCCCCCACCACACACAGATCCACTGACCCCAGCTGGCTCAAAGGGTGCTGAAAAGGGTCAGGCAGCGTTAGCTCTGGCAGTGAGATCCATTCTCATAGGGTTACCATATTTTAGTTTTAAAAAAGGAGGACACTCCAGGGAGCCCCAGCCCCGCCCCAAGTCCGCCCCTTCCCCAAAGTCCCCGCCCCAACTCTGCCCCTTCCCCTGAATGCTCCGTCCCCTGCTCCTCCCCCTCCCCTGCTTCGAATGTTCATGAGAAGCCTGAAA